ATAAAATAAGGAAGAGGATGCAGTTAGTGATTCAAAACTGGTGCATCTATTGGTGTCCTTTTTCCAGAACATTTAACATCAAACAAACAAAACAACAATGCAGCTGTGTTATGTGGCACACTAGGTTAGTTAAATAACTTACCTAAATGATTAAGCAGTTGTCAGGTGTGCTCCAGATCGCCATCTGTGATCTGTGGGTACATTTAGTTTTGGAGGCTAATTATTTAATTTAATACCTTTTTAATGTTTAGTCTCTTTCGGTCTTCTATTTATCTATATTCTTTTTTCTTTTTATTGGATTATTGTTTTAGATTCTTATTTTAGTCCCTACCTTCTGATTAAATAGTGAATCCATTTTTTGTTTTGCCTAGTTACCCTGTGCTCTCATTCGCCCCTGTGTTCCCCTCTGTTAACTTATCTGGTTACCATGTCTTTGGTCACATCCCCAAAGGTTATAGGGCAGATAGTTCCCTTTGTAACTTACCACTTCCTACATTGTATCCAGCTGTTGCTGTTATGTTTTCCTTTGTGTGCTCGTTCCTTTTGTAGCTGCTGTTTGTTTTTTGATTTTTGTCTTTAGCATTTGTGATGAATCCATTTTTAAATTAATTTGTTTGGCCCGTGTGGGCTTTACTTGAAAATTATCCCACAGGAAATTGTTGTTGGTTGTATTCTTTACCTCTGAGCCACTGCTGCAAACTAATTACATTGATCAAATAAATTTTTTTTTTTTTTACCACAAATGTTTTGTCTTAAAATACATTACTGGTTTTATACCTGAATTTTGTAATACCGGTATATATTGTAGTAAAGACAATAAGTTGAATGAGTTTTATCCATATCTAATAACTTTACAAAAATGATGGTGAACCACGGTGATGAGTTTCTTTTTATTCAGAAACGTGTATTTGTGTTCTTGTATTGTTCAAGCTGCATGGTTAGATGTGGCAGCAGATGAAGAAGTCAAAAGTTTTTTCCATTTTGTAATTGTGAAGAGAGATCTGAGATGAATAACTAATCTATAAATCTACAATAAGCCTATCTTCCCACACTTTATCTAATAAGATATTAATTATGACTGAAAATACAATGTCCGACATAGCGATTAGTCGAAATTAGGTTCCTTTAAAGTGTAGCTAAGCTCAACCTTAAACCTTGGATTAGGGCCTTCCTCAGTTATTCCTCTTCAAAGGAGTCTGATGGGCAGAGCTTGGTTAGAGTATCCAACAATATGACTCAATAGAAGCCATACTCTAATATTTTTCATTCGAGTTAAAGTAAAACGTAGTCATCCAAGAAATTACTTGAGTAAACAAGTATTGGTTAAAGAGGCTTCTAAAGTACTGAGAGATCCCTGGATCATAACATCAGACTAAGTTTTTCTCCATTGGTTTGAATCATTTCTAAAAAAAAGAAATTACATTCTTAAAATAACAGGGACAAACCTCTGAGCAACTGGAAAATTGTTCACAGCAGAACAAAGGCATTTGTAGACCGTTTTTTGGGGGTGCTGAAGCACCCTTAGGTCTAATCGAACCACACCAAAAATATGTTTTTTTTTATACTGTA